CCTATTTCTATTTTGGATTAAGGTATTTCAGGAGCCCCCAAATCAAAGTAGAACAGAAGAAGGAAAGCAAGAGAAAATGAGAAGTAGGAACTAGAAAAGCCAGTATCAGAAAAGCATACAGCATTTCCTTACTATACTAGCTAAGCTTACCACGCAGTATTCAACAGGTAAATCCTGATGGCTGGCTGACACTGGGTTCAAGACACTAGTCCACACGCTCCACATACTGAATACCCGAAGGTAATTCAGAGAGAAACTGATGGGGCAGACGGAGAAAACGGACCTCACGGTTCATCCTGTGTGTCACTGTCTTACACGCAGGAGTTTCAGTGCTTTGGTACCAACTAAAAACCAACTATCAGTTCTCCATGGAAGCAGCAAAATATAAAAACATCCTTGAAATCAGTACAGGGCCCTTCTGCTAGGGTCTGGTGACGTGGTTTTGAGATTCTTTGTCTTGGATCATTCCTCATTTGTTAGACCCACAAATAATGGTCCTGCCTAGAACCATCACCACAAGCTAGAGTGAAAAATGCCAGAAGACTAGGCTAGTGGGTAAAAAACTCAACATTTTTCCTCATGATTAACCTTGGGTGGCCTTAACAAGTTATGTAAGGTTTTGTTTCTACAGAAAGACACTGCATTTTTAGAACATCTCTAGGCACAAAAATTAGTCACATAACTGAAAGACAAGAAAATTTTAAGCATATATTATAAATAAATGCGAATATTAGGGGTGTGTATCCAAACATATGAATAGCTCTGAAAAGAATAAGACAAAAAGATCAAACACACTTGAAATCAGAGAGATGTCGTTTGGGAACTGAACTCTCGCCATGAGCAGGAGAAAACCAGAAAGTTCTTCATGAGTTCTGCTATCTGTTCAACCATTAATTCATGATGTGTTGCCAGAAAAAAATCACGAATGTCTTCGAGCCTCATTTTCCTTATCTGTATCTGCCCAAGATCTCACTGGGTTCTTGTAAGAATCAAATATGACAACACAGTCA